TTAACAGCCCAGCCTGCGTAAATGAGAAGTGGGCGTTGTGCATCATCCGCAGCCATCTTGTCGTCCATGACTTTCCTCGACCCCCTCTCATTTTTCTCCAATTTCAACAGTCATCTATGATCGGTGGTGTTCCACTCCCCACAACCACATCATAAAGATAGCCAATCAGTTACGTTACATGAGCGTTTGCCGACATCAGCAGAAACTCCTAGGAACCTGGCATATATAAGGTGGGAATTTACCGCGTAACAACAATCTACGCTGACTCTCTCGGTGGCTTACTTTGCTTGGGAGCGTCAATTTTCGTTGTTGATATGTACGCCTCCTGAAAACACAGATAAAGCGCCTCTATGCTCGCCAAAGCTTTTCCAGTGCCACATACGATACAACTAAACATTCACTATTAGCGCATTTTACATGCTCTATACTCAAACACTAGGCCGTGTCAGGATCTACGATGACCTGTCGGATATCTTCCCGACCACAAATGACGTTCATCAGGGTTGTCCATTTTCCACATTCTTGTTCAACTTCGTCGTGGATCCCATCATGGAGTGTTCCCATGCGGAGTCTCATGATATAGGCGTTGATGTGCTGCCTGGTGAAAGGCTTGTTGATCTTGCTTATACGGAATATATCCTCTTACTGTTTAAGGATGTTGGGGCGGAGCAGTCAACCCTAAATAGCCTCTCTAAAGTGGTCCCATTATTTGATATGCACTTCGAACCTAAAAAGTACAAGGTCTTGATGCAGTCCACCAGCCACTTGATGACATATTTACCCTTGATGACGAAGAACTCGGGTTAGTCGATCAATTCACTTATCTTGGCAGCTGTATCGGCAATAATGGACGCATAGCAACTGAAGCCAATTCACATATTGCAAAAGCCGGAACTGTTTTTTTGAGTCTGCTACATTTGTGGAGTCAGAAAGGGGTTTCCCTTCGTCTAAAAGGTCTTGTTTACAAGGCCAAAGTGGGGGTCATCCTACTCTATGGGAGCGAGACTTGGCCCCTCCAATCTGAGGAACTGCGGCCCCTTCAAGTCTTTGATCATCGTTGTCTGCAAAGCATTGCTGGTGTCGGGTGGCACCAGCGTGTCCGCAACGATGATGTGCATAGACGAGTGCCAGGCAGGGATAACTTGGCTAGTTCCTTAGAACAACGGTAGCACTAAATATGTTGTGTTCGCTTGGACACCTACTACCTAGATCTGGTCACCGTAAGGCTGGAGGTGGATAGAATTTAACTTGACAGGGGGAAGAGAAATCACTGACGAACAAACTCGGTGTTGCCGGTCCGTCTCGCCTTCCAGGCTGGAGCCCACTTGACCCGCCTTGTACTTGGCTTGAGACGTTACAGGACATGGCTCGTAGTCGACACCCGTTGCTTGTCTGCTGTCCTCTGCTAGTGGGACTACCTGTTTAAAGTGTGTTTGGTGTTGAGTTATCCACGGGATAAATTTTGATTATAACGCGGAACAGTGAGAGCCGAAGAAGGAAGCTGTATCGCTGATGTCGCCTAATCTTCGGATGAAAGCCAGCTGTTTGTGCTGGTATGTTGTTAAGGTGTAGGCGCCTTGGCCCTCAAGGTTTGCTTAAGGTACTTAGGTTCTCCAGAAAGCCCCCTCCTCTCCCACTTGTTATTTTTCGTACAGTAGATGATATATATATATATATATATATATATATATATATTGCAATCTGTGGTCCAGAGATTGTGCCATCAGGATCATGGCCGAATAAGAAACATGGATACGAATAGGAAGAAAAAGAACATTTAACATATTTTAACTAGCTTTCCACTCACAATTTTTGCATTTTTTAATAGTTTGTTTTATTGGGAAAGGAAGGAAATCACCGCAACACGCGTAGTTACGTGTTCTCCATTGACATCGGTCCTAAGCTGTGAATTCTAGGGTCTCTAACCAGCGATACTCTGTATCTCTGAAATCCCAACCAGGGAGTCCAGTATAACCGATTGAGGCCAAATGCTCCGTCGGCTTTTTCATGTGGCTTCTGCATGTTGTAGGTCCTCCACCGCACCGTCTCCTCCAGTCCTGTCCAGCAACCACGAACAACGCCCGACACGGAAGACGATGAGCAGGCATGCGCAGTACGTGTCCAAGCCACCGCAGCTGACGCAGCAGGACGAGCTCCTCAAGCGAGTGGCTGCCTCCACCCAAGACACGCTGTCTAACTTCCACATTGGTTACGTGGTGCAGCCACCACACACGGGCAATGGACCGCAAGCAACGGTGCTCAAAGACAGAGACGGCGCAGGTCAACGGTACGAACAGGCCAAGTCTCGCAACCGTACAACAGTACAGCGCGGACAGTCGCACAATAAACCCGCCCTTTGATGGATAGACGGATGTCATGGCGGCGCCACAAGTGCCTCAGCTTAGAGAAAGCGAGGCGAGCTCTTGAGATACGCATCGAAATCTCGTCTCCAACAGCTCCACCGGCTGTGATGCAACTTCCCAGGTAGGCAAAACTCTCCGTAACCTCCAGTGTCTCACCACCAAGAGTGAGTGCAGGTACAGGCATCTGAAAGTCTTGGAAAAGAGCTTTGCACTTGGATGGGGAAAAGCCATCCCATACTTTGACGCTTCAATCGCCAAGCGGTTGAGTGCAAGTTGGACGGCCTGTGGACCGTCACCCAGCAAGACGATATCATCAGCGTAGTCCAAGTCAACAACTCGGCTACCTGGGAGGAGCTCAACGCCGGCGCTCAACGAATTTTCCAGAGCATTTTTGAGGACATCCTCAATGGCAAAATTGAGAAGGAATGTGGAGATAAGGCATCCTTGTCGAACTCCACTCGTGACAACAAAGGAAGGCGAAAGCTTGCCATAAGCCCTAACTCTACCCGAGGTCAGACTGTACATAGCACGCAGTACACAAACGAACTTCCCGGGGATGCCATTCCTCAACAAACAGTGCACAATGCAAACCTGTCGACAGAATCGAAGGCAGCGCAGATATCTAGGAATACAAAAATCGTTGGTTTTTAGTGCACATGGCGGAGCTCGAGGATCTGGCGGATGGTGAAGATTTGATCGATGCAGCCGCGGCCAGGGCGGAACACAGCCTGTTCTTCCCGCTGTAGCGATTCGCGCATTGGAGATAGCCTTCGAAGTATGATGGACACCAGTATCTTACAAACGACGGGAACCAAGCTGATACCCCTGCACTTGGAGCACATTGTCCGCAGGCCCTTTTTGAAGATGTGGATAACTATCGGCTCACCTCAAGATGATGGAACCTTCTCTTTCAGCCAGACTTCTGAGAACAAGGCAGTAATTTCCCGAACCGGCGATTAGCCGCCATCTTTAACTAGAGCGGATGGTAAGCCATCAGGACCCGGTGTTTTTTGCGCTGCAAGAGGCATAGTTCCTATCATGTTTCTTGGTGAGAGGGAGGATCTGTGGAGACAGACCACTCAGCACTGCATGCGCGCTCCAAGGGATGCAGATGGAGCTGGTGGCCAGCAAGACTGCGAGCCAAAGTGTTCAGCCCATCGTTCCAACCGTTGTGGAAGATTAGTGCTTAGTGGACTATCCCCTTCGCAAATCGTTTCGCTTATACCAAACTGAAAACCTTCAGGGACTGGGATGAGATGGAAAGGTTTTCTGGTATTACCAGAAGAGCTAGTGAGTTATATCTCTATCGCGTTCACACCACTAGGTTTCACAGTCTTTTTGTAGACTCCTGCGCAATTCTCGATCTAAATATCGTCGTCCTTCACTACAGCTATAATCGGCCGGGACCGAGTGGCGTTTGCCCATCAACGACAAGGAGACAATAGTGATCTTGCTATTCCGCGGGCGATGGGTGACTCCACAACTATCAATGCTGGTAGAAACTGTGAATTCAGATCGTCATCATCAGAAGCTGGGATAAGCGGTGTTGACAGAGAGGCTTGGTATTTGGCTAACGTCGTAGGGTCTTGTAGTTTTTCTATGCTCAACCGGTATTGCGTACGCCTAGTCGATCCCCCGAAATGTATGTATAATTTAGCGCGAACCAAGGCGTAATCAGAGTCTAGACAAGTTGGCCAGTACGAATGTCAATCTGATACGCTTCCGCGTCATCTGTAGCTTATGTGGTCAAGCTGGCACCACTTGCGTAGCTAGTTATGGTTGTATGGCAGCGAAACATTAGTTCGAGTGGCTTATGTACCGCTGTTATTGAATACTAAATACTGTATTGTGGGAGAAAGTAGAAATCTTCATCTGTGCAACTCCATCGAAATATGATCAAAAACGTTAAAAAGGCAAACTATAACTTGTCAATACGTTGCTCGTTTTTCACCTTCTCACGTTATGTCGTTAAAAATCGTTTAACTCACTGTAGCTTAGGTCTCAAAAATGCGAGATGCCTGTGGGTAATCGTTTACGGAATCTACTATTTGAGAAATGTACACCCACTAATCGTTTGAGTAACGGCGTTGAATTCGCTTCCACTATATGCTCCGGCAAACCGTTCCAGACATATACCACTGCTAGAACACAGCGAAATAGCTATTCTCCGACTGCTCCACGGACGATGCCAGAATTATGCATTGGCATTCTCTGTGCAGGCTTGATTCGTTCCTCCTTCCTTCAATTTCTTTCCTACCGCAAACTTCATTTATTCGCCTCGTTTGAAGCCGGACCAAATCAACACCCAATGAATAAGTTGTACGTAGACTAACCCCTCGTGCACTGCTTTCATGCCTTACTCTTGATATGACTGTACACTTCTCGGATGGTCCCAATTCACTCATCGAATTACTTTCTTACTTGAATCCACAGCTCACCGGTTCGAATTTTGTATTGGTGCGAGTGATCTCTTAGTTTCCTTAACCAGAGCGCGACTGTTGGTGGTCACGTGGAATTCAAGGGTTGGTGTAACGTACTGGTTTACTACTGATGCTTCTCTTTCTCCTTTCATCCTTGCTCAGTTTCACCTCCTACTTTTCTACATGATTAATGCTAACCTCTTACTTTCTCACATTTCAGTCCTTTGGGATTACATCACTTGCTCGTACCCGTAGACATCAAATGTTTAACGGATGTCGGCGAATTCCCAACCCGTTGCTGGTGGGAGACCACTCAGTCACGAAGGGCAAACTGTTCGGGATATGCGCGCATCATGCCTACGAATCGCATTGAGATATAGTCGCAATAAACCGCACATTTTCCGTCTGATGAAGAATTCCGGTCTTATTGCGTGTTTTGCGGTTTCTTTGTGCATCACCGAATCTTTGTTTAAATTGACCGATGAGATGCTTGAAGATACAGAGCTGGATGCGAACATGAATCCTGCTCCAAACGAAGATGCATCTACTAACGCACCGGGAAAAGCAAGTGATCTCACCTTGAAAACCGTGCTTGAACAACGCGGGATTGCTGTTGATCGCATTCTCGGCAAGGATGAAGTTCATCGGTTACTAAAGGCCTCCGGTAGGCTTGTGTCCACTGTTCTTTTTCCATCCAGCCATATACTTGCCATTGTCATCATCTTGGTTTTTAGCTCTTGTTTGCATCCATTTTATCCTGCTCGGGAACTATGCAACAGCTGAACCCAGATTACTATTATTTCGAATTATTTCCGTATCTTTCTATTTGTTTCCATCCGTGTTGTAAACCATTTTGACCATCATTGGTTGGTTCGGGGTTGAGAAACGTCTCTTTCCGAATAAGACCAATGGCCCCAATCACCACTACACGTTTGCCGCCATCAACTTACATATTTGCAGTTAGATTTTTGTTTGCTCGCGTCCCCGTTTCATGTGTAATCCAATTGACTACGCTCAAGTTGGATGGATGACATATCAGCTCTCAGCTTTGCAAAACCTGTTACCCAATTCTGGATAAAGCATTTGCGTTATTCTAACCTCCTGTGGAGGCTGTGTAGGTTATAATGCATACTTTCCCAATGTGTTCACTGCCCGACCAATTTATGTTGTCTGTTCCAATGAGCTAAATACGGTGTAAAAATACAGTGTTTGGGTTCTAGGAAATACATATTATCAATTATCACTTCCGCTCCATCTATTTACCAGCGTTGACTTTCTTATCCACATCTGTATTTGATTCCCACAGCATTTAGGCTACATGTATTGAGGTCTCTCAATCCCAGTCGCAACCTCGACTCTCGACCTGGGGCACAGGGACCATGAACACGCCTAGCTGCAAACTCTTTCAGACATGGCAATATCCCGCATACGCTCACCTTTGAATGTCTTACTGACAACTGTGATCCTCGACCTAATGCGATGGATTAGTTGAAAGCGTTCGTAATAGTTACCGGCTATTCCTATTTTTTAGGTCCCCTATGTCCATCAGATCTCCTTGTCAGATCGAGGTCTCCGTTTTAGCTCGTACAAAACAGCCCGTCTGATCGGATGTCTCTGCTAGCAGCAGCAGTAGCAGCAGCGTTACACTGTGCGCTTCGGCACGGGCTTTACACCCTCAAGACACCTACTGTCATATCGAAGCTAGTCGACGCACTGCCAATCTTCATCCTTAAGGGACAGTCGATCGAAATAACCAGTCAGTTTACTTTAGTTGGATGCATCCTCTTCGGTGATCACACTTCCGAACAGATCGCCCCGCTCTCATTACTAAGGTCCATGTGACTTTTCATATCCTCCACTTATGGAGGCTGCAGAATTTAGATCCGCGGGAAAGTTTTACGACGCTGCGTTGTGACTGTTGCTAATGTATAGGGCAGAGATCTGCTTGCTTCCTTTAAACATATTAGGAGACTGACCAATTTTAACAATCACACAGAACTTCGTCAGCGTCTCCTTGAAGCCGATTTGCTTTCGGGCACCCGGTCGTACGTTTTGCCTCTCAGTGTGTCGGCTGCCTCGATGTGTATTGTGTTACCAACATTGCATCTTTTGGGTGAAACACTGACGCGATCATGTAACGACATTGCTGCCGCGTGTGAAGGAACACATTAAAGGACCGAATCGGATTTTTGCCTCTTTCCATCCCGGATGGTGACTTCGGGATCGGCTTCACCATTGGCTAGATATCCCATCGGACATGACACACTCACGGAGTCGATAGCTCTTTTGCGTTCTCTCCCTACTTCTGACCTTTATCTTCTGCATCTGGCCCTTCTGTTTTTTTTCATTTCTCTGAAATAATTAATCTTATTACTATTGCTTTGAAGCATCGGTGTATACAGATGGTTGTTTCTTGACTAAATTTAAATTTAGTCGATGCTAAACTACCGTACTTAGACGGCTGTTTATGTGAATTCGATTAGTGAGCGACCATTCAGTCCCGGCGCTGACAACAATGCCGACCCCATTTTTACATATGGTTGCTGCACCAGCGTCTCCTGATGTGTGTAACCAGTAGCAATAAAACAAACAGCGCTCAGTTAGTTCACAAACCGTGCGGGAGTTATGGATTCTTGGTTCATAGACCCAGCACACGTCAGCGCTGAGTGCAGCTTATCAGTCTCCGCATTTTAAGGCACTAGCTTCAGACGCCGCCGGTGAAACCGGGCAGCATGCTGTGGTAAATGGTTTTTATGATGCCAGACTATTGGACAGCGTGGTGGTCAGGTGTAGATATCCGAACCATCATATTACTGCCGTCACTTAAACCTGGCGTTACAGTAGGTAAGTTGTTAATGAAGTTATGAATGGGTCTAAGAGAAATGAGTAAGAAAACAAGAAATGTGGTAGCAGCAACCGCTTGTATGCAATAGATAATGCGATCTATTTAAAACCACTCGACGGTCGATGCTGTGTGTTGTTGCAGTTTGAGACGCAGGTCATGGTTTGCTTCAAACTAAGCCGCAAGACTACACCAACTGCCCATAAGTTGAGTCGTTTTCAGTGAATCCGGTTACACACAACTTTTGTGCTTCCATCCGGAGGACCAGGATATGGACGTCTTTCATTTGAGTTATCTGGTAATAGTCTTTTCTTCCCACTAGAGCATTATTCGTTTAGGTTTATTGGTTTGGTGTTCCCAAACGGTTTCAACCTTGTATGATCCGGTTTCGTTACCACGCGTAAGCTTGGCTTTTGGTCCTTAATACCGCATGTATCTATTATACAACCCTTAGAATGTTTTCAAACTATGCGTAGGTAATTCTCCCAACTTCTCTCATCTGCGTTTTTTTCGCAAACGTTCCGTCATCGAAAACTTTCTTTACTTCGCTTCATGAGTAGTTACTCGGGATAACGATCAACGGTAATATTATAATGCCATGTATGTGTATATCAAATTCTCACTATAATACGGGTAAAATTAAGTTAACAACATCGTCAGACCGGCCGCATTAACATATCGGAGCCGTTCAGATGTTGTGCCGACGGAGTTACATTCTTCGATACATCCGCATCCGCTCACCCCTACTGTACAGTTGCGAAACCTGGTCCACCAGACCTTCGACTACCGGTGCCTTCGCAGTTGAGCTCATGTCTGGTGGGAACATCATGTGAGCTATGAGTGTGTTCGCCGTCTTGGTTATGGTACATGAATAGGAAGTGAACCGGTTAGCCTTATTATTTCACACACACTAAGCCCCAATGGCTGAGCCATGTCGTACGCATGCCAATACACGGACTCCTGCGACGTGAGTTTGTCTGCGCGACCGTGCTGTGGTTAGAAGAAAGTTAGAGGAAGTCGGTCAGTGACTCGGTCAGGAAGAATGAAGGTCTTCAATGCGAACCTGTTGCCGGTTCATACCTGCCGACTGTCCGATTGGGGTCCGAATGACGACGAGCGCATGTGGTTGGAAACACTTGTTGACATAGCCAAGAACCGGCCTCAGTGGCGTTTGTATTGGAAGTTCCTCTGTCCCTCTATATCTCGTTTAGCCCCCTCCAACTGCGATGTCAACCTCGATGCGTAATTTACTTTTCTTTTAGTTTTGCTCACGTTGTTTTCCTTTTTCATTCTTTTTTTATCCAATCTAATTGATTTGTATTCCTGCATAATACCTGAGGCGTTTCTCACCTCTAGCTAATGTGTGTGATAATGATGCTAGGGATTTTATTTCCCGTCGTTATCACTCTCTGTGACCTCATGAAAGGAGAATCTGCGCTAGGCGAACCTCGTTCGCGTGAGCACCACTGCATGCTGCTACATTGCATTTCGGAACTAAAATGATGCAGTACAAAATATGTCTGCATTTTTGCTAACCTCTTCTTACTACCTCTGTTAGATCTGACGCGACCGACTTCGCAAGATAGTGGAAATCACTTTCTGGTCTAAAGTTTCGGTGTTGATCTCTTCCCTCAATACACTCCACAAATGGTCTCGTTTTTTTTGTAAACTCCTCAAGTAGAGATAGACTGAGATGGGAGTGGAGCCCGACATTTAGTCATCCGGGTATCAACAGTACGCCGGTGCGCAGTACTGACCCTTCGCTTTCGCGCAATCACCAACAGTCCCACGTGGGTTACGGTTACTGCGAGGGTCCCCCAGTCCCCCACTCAGGCTGGAACCCGCACCTTCGGATTACAAGGCAGCTTTGTGATCCTTCAAGCTACCGACCGGTGGCATATACTCATCGGAACTGCTGAGCCTGACTTCAGAGTCGACCGTAGTTCCACATTTAAAACCGAGCGCCGCGATCCACACACATGGTGAGTACACCAAAACTTAACCATCCTTTTCTGATCTGGTCTTTTGGAGGACTTGTTTGCTTGTTGGACTAATCTTATTAATGCTTAAAGCAGGGAATCAAATCATTGGAAAAGGATGTTCTCGACTACAGTCGACATTATGCTTGGGGCATCGTCGAATTTGCTGCATTAGTTGTTTGACACATGATTTCACCTTTGAGATCATATGAATGTTTTTAGCCTCGTCAGTCAATGAGCCAAGCATGTGGGAGAGCGCTGTGACATTTTCACTCTTCAGTACTTCTCATTTCTGGGCTTGGCCACTTGTGAATAGTCCGTGTGATGCCATTCCCTCACACCCGAGCGCTGTAATGAAGACAACTGCGGCCCGTAGCTTTCAAATGATCACATAATGACACGGCGTTGTGGAGCATATGGTGTCTAAACGTGAACTCCCGGGGCACAAAAGATCGAACGGGTCCAACACGTTGCTACCAGGCTTATCCCGAGTTTACGTGGCTTGGGGTATGAAGACCGGTGCGAGAAACTAGGACTCTACACCTTGTCCTACCGTCGGGTGCGAGTCGACCTCATTATGACCTACCATATTCTACATCTCGGTGAATTCTCCATGCTGAAGCCAATGCTGCACTTACGAGGGTCATGCAGCACACGTGGACACAGATACAAACTTGTCGTGCCGGATGTGAAACGTGTTCCCCACCCACTATGCTTCGGACGGAGTGGTAAATATTTGGAACAGTTTACCTAAACATGTGATGGAGGCCACATCTATGCAGCAGTTCAAAACGTTGTTAGATTTGTGTTTTACCACTATTCGATTCAGAGAATGATTGCACACTTACGATGACATCACATTTGTGAGTCCTGCAATACCGTGAGTCAGATATTTTAAGTGTTATATGAAAACGACGACAATGTTCATGGCTGACAACTTTTATAACGTTTTTCACCATATTTCGAAAGAGTTGTACAGAATTCATTTCTACTTGCTCTATAATACAGTATTCAGTATTCAGTCTTGCTTCTATTCCGTGTACGGCAGTACTTCATCACTCGGTGAATGTCAGGCGCTTCGCCAACACTTGCAATCGTTTAGCGGATGATAACACTAGGAGTGTCCGGCAGACAATGAGCCTGCCGAACTGTTTATGCCTTGCTTTCCTTCATTCTAAGCAGGTTGCTTTTATCTCAGTCTTTCAGGCTTAAAAATGCGTCATCACACTACTTATCGCCACATGTGCGACTTATGACTGGCCAAATGTACCTCTGAGCTACAAGATTGCCTATTTGTATTTTTTCCTCAGCGCATTACACTCTGTTCTTCTGTGGTGCACATCTTAAAATAACCAGTCATTGCACTGCGCCCGTCTGCACCCCTTCGCCTTTTCGAACTACGCTCACAACCAGGGAGTCAGCGACGGTGTGGCCAGACAACTTGGTTATCCAAGACACAGACTCATTCCTTTGGTCTCTAGTCCTGTTATCCGTATTCTCCTTGAAGCTTGCCATGCGCTGCGTTAAATTACAAACTATCAGTCACCCAGGTATACATTATGTGCTGCGCACCCCAGGCCCTGTCTTGACGTTCGGATCGTTCTCTGTGTTTACACGATAAATCATTACTGTTGGTTTCTACTTTTACTGCGTGCACTTGCACTTAGGCCCGTTTATATTTGTTTTGGACCGGTTTAGTCCTAAACACCATAGTTTCATTGAGGGACATTTCTTCGTAAAATGCACAATGTATTTTCAATACGTTTATCTTCCTTTCGCATTTGGTAATGTGTGGTTTCGCGTCAAAATCCCTGTACTCGACCTTCACGTGACGGCTACTGTTCAGTCCGATTCACTTGATCAGTTGTGATCCTTCGTGAGACGGGCCCAACGGCCTTGATTCATTTGCCTGCACAAGTGCTACTATTGATAATACAAGGGACTAGTACTGTGCTTTGAATGGTACCAGCAGCAGTTCGTCACATCTAGATGCTGTCAGACAGCCATCACACGCCCGGAAAAACAGTGCATGTTACTACCGTGCAAGAGGCCAGTGTAGTCCCCTCACCTAGTGACGACCCTACCAGACTTAAGCCACCATTCGAGTAGTCACGAATAAAAATTTATTTATTTATTTAGCATGGCATTATAAGCAGTTTTATCTGTTTAGTGATTATAAGGGAGTAATAGGGAAGAGTGGAATTGTATAGGCAGAAATTCCTTATATCTAGATGGAGTCAGACAGCCATCACACGCCCGGAAAGGTAGTGAATGATCGTTCCATCCTTTCAGGAATCGTCAGCGGTGCACATTCCATATGGACCATGTGCGACTAGAACCCGCAACTCGAGTGTAGCTAGTCTGTGGTTAAGACCACTGTGGTAAGGGGGGACGGTAACGACCGTCCTGACTAGGTTACAAGGTGTGATATATCGCCGATCGTCATCCGCTGACTTGCGTATTATTTCCTTGCAGAGGATAAGGTAACCCCCTCACCACGCGAAGAATTTACCAAATTTATGCCGCCAACTAACTTATGGCATTAGGAGCAGTGTGCGATGACTGTCTGACTGAGTCTGGATATGATGAACTTTTACTTGTACCATTCAAATCCAATTATTACTCCCATGTGATGCGTGCGCAAACCAAACTGACCCCAAAAAGTCCGGATGCAATACGCACTTCTGTCAGTTCCCGAAAGTATAAGACGACCGTACAGGTCTTTTCACAGTGTGGGGTGGCTGTCTCACTGTCTAGATGCCTAGTGAAATACCTCAAGAGAGATGGGCAAGGTATAAAATCTATAGTTAAGGGTTAAAGATTAGTGACCGACGCAATAACACAATGACTGATACTCTAACAACTATTGTTGAATCCATGCATTATAATCAATCTGAGCATTCCTATAGTTAATGCCCTCCGTTTTCAATCAAATGCGATGGCTCCTGCCTTCCTCTGTGGACAGGGCGACTCGCTCCTGAAGAAATCGCAGCGGCCGCAAAGTTTCTCGCACACACAAAGAACTTCAAGGCTTCCGATTGCCCTGACGCGCAGCTTCATCGCATGGTACTCTCTGGTGAATGGACACCTAACAAAGATCCCACTCCGCCTGGGGCCGTGAGCATTGTGTTCGGCAGTGAATCCGCCTTCGTGGAGCAGGTGGATGACAACAAGGACAGTGTCTGGCTTCTAGCTGTGATTGTACCTACTCGTCTGGAAGAAATTGGTAAAAGCGCTGATTCAACCAGAACCTATGGGGACTCTGTTGTGACGAGCGAAGTCTGGGGGCGTTTGGTCCACATGTACAAACCTTTTGGATTCAAACTTGGATTAATTGATTGTCGCGTGGTTCAGAGGTAAGTATCCTGTTTTTCTACACTTTCACTACCTAAGGCATTCATAATTGATCGTGTGTACTTACCACTCTCAACTGTGATCTCAATTTACACCCTTGTCTGCTCAAAATAGACAGTTGACGCAGGCGAGCACAATCTCTGATGTCGGGTACTCATGCACTACACATGTGCATTTCGGGTAGGTCGCATGAGTTCGGCTCATTTCTGTGCTTTGGGCACCGGAGTCCGCTGGACACAATGTCCACAACTCACGTCGCCAGAGTAACAATGAATAAGGACAGTGAGAAAATGAGGTTGAACGCAAACCATATAACTAAAATGGAGTTAAGGAAGAAATGTTTAAAAGTAATCGCATATGAAGTATTAACAGCTGGATGCAATAGACCGAATGCAGGAACTCTGCTGACTCCACTACTCTCTGCCATATCAGGTACCACCATATCCGACCACTGACGTAGACCGTCCTGAAGCCCCCTCATCTACGAACAAGTCTTTTGTCAAATTTCTTCATGTATTTCCGCTTCGTCGTCAATGGATCTTTTCAACATCCCATCCCGGTAGGTGCAGTGTGCATTGAGGAAGGCGGTCAACGGGCATACGGAGGACATGGCCTAGCGAAAGTAAACGGTTAAGCTTCAGCAAAGATTCGAGTGTGACATCCGAGGGTCTCTTTTCAGAAGCCAACTGGTGAACCAATTCCTCACCTGGTGATCACCCAAGATGTGCCTGATGCTCCACGAGCACCATTGGTTACTGACCACCAATCTCTTCACATATCCAAGACGATATTGACATGCTTCTGATTCATACACGAACATCGACCTCATCTAGTCTTGTGCACCCAACTTTTGGCATCTCATTGTCTCCATAGGTAACTAGGCTTACGAGAGGCCACAAGAACCTTGCTGACCTCCCCAATGTGGTATCTGTCTGCAGTGATACAATTACCAATGTAAATGAACCAATCGGTCACTTTTAGTTACTGCTTAATTTAAGCAGAACTGGTGGTTTGTCGACTGAGTATTGCAACAGTTATCTGTACTTTGATGGTGCGGCCCACATACCGAAGCGTACAGTCTTATACGTCAGCCTATTCGATATCGCGTACACTACGGCAGGAGGCCAGGCATCTTTTCTGATATCGAACGGCCGCGGAAAACAGGTTTAATAGGTCCGACTGCTTTGCGCATGCAGTCCTCATTACAACTGGCTGGTTGATGTTGCCTTACGAGAATTCATTCGAAGCAAAAAGATCCGTAGTAATGCGGACTCGATTTCAGGACTGATTCCTGAAGGCCAGTTTATTTTGTCAACTTTCACAAGTTGTTGCATGCGTTGGAGGACGCGCGTCCCCCTGTTGACAGGCCAGTGTTGTCCACTGGAAGACGATGTGTAATACATCGTTATGTTCACCAAGACCTCACGCTGTTTAGTTAGGACGATTTTGGTGCGCTATGCAGTGTATTGGTAGTCCAAGCATTTGGCTTTCAGTCTCTGCGCCCTGGGTTTGAATCCCAACCCCATCTTGGGTTTGGTTGCTTCTACTGTGTCCCACAGTTGCAAGTTCGCACAAGTCCGGAAAATTGCGCAGAGCTCACCTGAGTTTAACTTGGCGATAATGTCACCATGTCGCAACTCGAACTGCGCGGGTCTATGCCGATCTCTTCCCATAGACGCCATTGTCATGTCAGCGTAAATCGCACAGATTCCACCTAAGCTCTCCCAAGTGACACTGCTGTATTCACACTCTCAAACTGCAGTGGCCTCAGCTGACCTCTCCTCAGGACACTACCACTAGGTTGCAACTCATGCTCCGTAATAACATTCTCCTTCCTCTACGCTGCTGTGTTGTTGAGCCATAAATACAGTGCACAAGTCACGTTCGCCTTTGGCTGAGTCAGTAAATGAAGTCTTGTTATCGGACAGTTCTTATATTCTGGGTCTCGGTGTATTCGTGAGAGGTTACGCTTTTCGTCTCCAGCCTCATGTGTACACACTTCTGGCGTCTATGCCACTTAAGGCGCCTCGATTTAAATTTAATCGAGTACTCTACGCGTGGGGTTACTATCACAGAAAAGCGTTTCATCCCCCATTTGGAGATTTGGAACAACCAGGACGTTCATAGCACCAATGCACACTGTGCGTTCGATTGAGTTGCGTTGTAGCTAGGCATTTACACTTTTCTCGTTTCAAATTAGTCTGGGCTTTATGCACCCGTGCGTATGCATTTTTAGCAGTCGCACTTACTTTAGATGTGCAGAAAGATGATACCATTAAACACTGCCAGAGTAAAAGACTTTTTGATGTCCCCAATGTCAAGTTAATGATGCTTGGCCTCCGTTTGCGCTGACATTAGGGACATCTGGCCGTGGCTGCAAATGGCTAAGCTGTGTTCAAGTAGTCTTTCGCCAAACTCTCTTCATGTCTTCCCTATGTACTATTTGTCGCAGACGGATGATAAATGAGGTCAGACGGAGCACGAAACAATGGGGCATCCAATTTCAGTCATGTAGAAAAACCAAGCGGTGTTTTTGCTTTGTCGTTGTGTGGTGGATGGAAATGGCTAATGGAGCCGTTGTGAGAAACATTGGTGTAAGTCCTGAGGTTTTCACCAGCAGACCCACGATAGTAAATCTAGATGTGTCGCTGCGTCTTTATACATACTTTATCGATCGCACCATCAAATTGTGGTACTTTCGACGGAGTCCACGGGTGGTGAACTTTATGCTCAGTGGGGGGGAGTAACTTACTACGGTCACAAGTTTAAGCATCAAACCGTGCGGCACTGTAATCATCTTACATTTGAAAGCACAAAGGGACATTCATTAAAATTTGTGATTTAGTTTACGTACGTGCTTAGAACAAGCTATGGTTTCAAGACCACAAGGCTCTGAGATGCTTGACAATGGATGAGCTTTTTATGGCATTGTCACTTAAAATCAAAGAAGGGGACGCATTTATACTTGCTTGCAACTCATGCTGAGGTTGATGTTGCCTACCTCATGCTTCACCACAGTTGAGTGCGCATTGTAACATTACTATTAATAATAAAAAGAATTAATTAGTATGTTCTCACCAAAGCGGATCAAATCATATGGTACTGACTAAATACAACCTGAAAGCGCTTGGTCTTCTGTGAAAGACCGAATGTAATGCTTTTTCACTTACGTCCCCCACAAAGCTTCCGAATGGACGGCAGTCGGGAATTGCTCATTCTCGTCCGGGCATATTGTTGAAAAAGAGGCTACAAATGACAGCGAGGTTTAGCAAGGTTTCGAAACAATATACACATGGAATAGCGGGATTAAACACATTTATAATATTGATATATAACAATGCTTTCAAAAATAGTGGGCATCTGGACAGACTTGTGACAGCACATCGCTCAAAGCTTGAACTGTGAACGATCTTTATTATGAAACATTTAAATCGATTAGAGCGAACTGCGTGCCTCACACAGGTGACGAGATATGATAACAGAGGGGAAATGGAATTATGCTCATAAGTTAGATAGTTTAGTGAGGGGGCACCAAGAGTTCACCTTTTCCATAGGTCCGCGTCTTACAGGCACTCACATGTCCTTCATCTATCTGGATACTGTGTTGAAGTACTGTAACAGAGCCCAAGGCAAGGTCATTTTATCTAACCCATCCTTGTGAGCCTCTTATTAATAGGCTATCAGTCGGTCTTCAGGCCAAATGAGAACGAGAGAACAAACGCTGTAGAAGAAGCAAGTCAAAGATAGATGTCATCTACCCAACCTTTCAATGCGGCTATTTTTTCACAGGCCATCAATGGGCCATCAATTTGAGTAAGCGCGGAGGATGTGCAGACGTAAGAACAAGGTATGCACACGTTGTACGAGTGCATGTCTCCCAACCTTCAACCATACTTTTTATTGTGAGTCCCGCGGATTCGAGCCTGCGTACGGGACGGGCAACCGTCGCAGTGTCGGTAGCCCACGTGAGACCGGCGGTGACGCGTCAGTACTACGTACCGGCGTACTGCTGATGCCTTCCAGTTCTTATCATGTCACGTCCTCATACATCCATTCATTTGTGTAGCTGATGCGAACCGTTCTATAATATTTTTGTACTGTTAAGTACTGTTTTAGTTGCACCTCATATTTCCAACTTGAAGGTGGACATCTGGTGACTCCGTTCTCAACAACAACCAGATTGAGTAGCTTTGACCTATCGAGATTTCTGAATGCATTTGAATATTCCAAGAGAAAGGTTGCATGGGTCTGTATTCTTCTATCTATCACAGAGTACGCAAACCAGTCTAGACCGTTTGGCAATTGATGCATCTGGGTACCGAGTGTACTTTGCCCCATCAAAGTGTGAAGTGCTGCTTCAGGATTGCCACTCAACCATTCCCGTGCTCAATATTGAAGCTACACAGCTTGAACAAGTGGATAGCTTTGTCTACCTTGACAGTTGTGTGTCTGTTGGTGCAACCATTGCAAAGGAAGTTTCTTTTCGCTTCACAAAAGCTCGGTCGGCGTTTGTCAACCTGCAGCACTTGTGGTGTCGTCCTGATGTCTCCCTTTTCGTAAAGGATTGTGTCTACACTGCCACCGTTCGGGCGGTGTTGCTATATGGAAGGGAGTCATGGCCAGTTCGCGTAGACGACATGCACTGGCTCTCAACTTTCGACATCTGGTGCTTGAGGAGGATTGCTCGTGTGTGATGGCAACAACACATCAGCAACAGTGAATTTAGACGTCGTATTTTAAGGAATGCGAGTATTCCCTTCAACAAGCTGGTTTTTCTGCGCCAGTTGAGATAGCTCGATCACGTCCTGCGTACGTCAGCTGCGCGTTTGCCCTATCACGCTCTGTTTGCTCGTGCAGGACTCAACTGGAAGAGATCACGCGGTGGTCCACCATCCACTTGGTGACAGCAGATGAAATCGTTAACTTCACGTCTTGCCACCATGGGATCCGCACGTCTGCCTGGTTGGTAACCAAAGGACGAGGAGTGCCGGTGGCTGGAAACAATTCATGACGTGACTCGTAATCGAAACCAGTGTGCATAATTGTTTAGCTTTGGATGGTTAATACTTACCGATTGAGAACGACAAAAAATACGGCGCGTGCAAAACAATAAACGAATGCTCCTTTTATTGCAGCACAGTAGCTAAAGTGTCTTGTTCACCTTCAGTCAATGTGCCCTGATGATGCTACATTGTTAAACCTGTCTTCTTTTTGTGATTTCCATGGTTAGATTCGACTCTATGTCTATATAATAGACTGCTGCCTTTACTATTTCTGCTGATACTACTACTATCCAGTGTCCTATGCAATGCACATGGTACAGTATATCGTCTAGCGTTGGGCGCTGAAACCTTCCGGTCAGTTGCTAGACCATCGTGAGCTAATGTGAAAAATTTCGGGTGAAGTGCTTTTTCAAAGTGATTTGACAGTACAGAAGTGCCTGCGACCAGCCGATACTTGTAAGGTCCCTTGTTTTCATCCATGGAATAAAGTTTGCCGCGGGAGCAATTCGTGTCTTGTTTTTTCTCCCTCCGCTTTTTATGAGCTGTTTTCTGTATTAGACAAAGTAATCGCCAAAACTATGCCTCAAGTGTTTGAGATTTCCGTCGGGATGACTCATACAATAGTTATATACCGGCAGTTCACCTTTGATGTTACCCTTGTGCTATCCACTTGGCAGAAGAATTAGGCAGTGAGATCACTGTTTTCCCTCTTCGAAAGTCCTTACATCATTCGGCGCGTATCATTCGTGACGCCCCTTTTTGTCTTGTCTACTGCAGTTATGGTCAAGAAATCCACAGATTTGTATTTCCGCGCAGCACTCAATTGACTAGAAAATTGGATGCACGTATTTATTCGGCAACTCTCTTAATCTTTTTCTCTTTGGGGCAATGTGCTCAACAGCAGCAGTATTCTCATTGTCCACCATTGGGCTCTTATGTCCTACTGTTGTCTACGGCATGCTTCGTCCTAGCTGACCCGTAGCCTTAAGAATCACAATCTCGCTTTGTAATCCGACGGGAGCAGGTTCGAACTGCGTATGGACCGGGCGGCGCTCGCCGTATACTTATCCCACGCGCGATTGGTTTGGTGGGTAGCGCGCCAACCGGTACTCTGCATTGGCGTCTTGCTGATACCATTTTTTGTCAGAACTCTTTCTCTACCCACTACGGCTACTGAATCCTTCCCACTGTGTAGGGGTTGCGTAGCTCACTCTGGAAAAAAACTGTCACCATATTGCCACTCCGCTGTTCTAATGTCTTACGTATGGCTGTCTTCTGTCTGTATTTGTTGGGTTCACGACTCATATTTGACCACTAAACTGGGCGTCATTAGGCCCCTCCCGCCTTCCGAACTGGAGTCCGCGCAGCTCGAGATTTTACGAAACTAGCGACACATGTTCCATTGCTTCCTACTCGGCCTACGTGTTTAACATGTGGAATACGGCTCATTTTCGCGCTGGGTGACAATAGTTGCGAGCAAACCATCTAGCAGACACCGCATGATAAGCAGCTGTTGTGGCCATGCATCGTTGACATGGCACATGAGCACTTTGACCCCGAATATTTGATTAGAGCATTTGGGATCTACTCTAGCTTCACTCTTTGGTGTCATCATCATAATTATTTGGCAACAGTGCATCAGTTCAGGTTTCCGACAGACTACTCTAGATTCTAATCATTATCCTCAGTACGTTTGGTCAAGCATTCGCTCATGAATCGTATTTCTAGATTTGCTCACCTTCTTCTCTGATATCAACGTCCTCTCAACGTCCAGTCGATTGTGCAGCAATCACGCGTCATCGTTGCTTGTTATGTCATCATTACAATTAACAGTAGGACATTTTATTACTCCCGCGGGGAAGTATAGCCTTTAGGTTAAAGCCGATCATGTGTCGTTTATCATTTCTACTTCGATACTACGTTTTTCCATCTTTGTGTTGCCAGATGAATTTCCATGATGAGACGCACCTCCTGCTTGTATTTCATTCCATGCGTTTCCTTTTGTTGTCCTCAGTGTCTGTCTCGATCGGGGGTTCATTGCCGCGGACCTCGTGCTAGCGCTTCCCAAAGGTGATGACCGTATAAAGGACGCCGTCCAGTTTCGACCATATCCTCGGCATCTGGCTCATTCTCCTCGTCTCACTAAAGTGTCATTCTCAACGACTCAGGCACTCCAACATATCCGTGGCTGGATGAGCTCGTTGCTATCCGAACGCGTTCCAGATGTCACTAGCATGGAATCCTTAATTCCTGCTTCACTTCGCCCCACCGGAGGAATTGGGCTACAATCGAAGGGATTGAAATTTCAGTGGTTTCCGTGGCTTCGCCGGCGTCCACAGCCCTTGCATTTAATTTGGATGCCAAACGCACATTCCACTGGGCCGCCCCCACCACCACCGTCATCTGCTTCTCGCTGCGAAGATGCTCCACCCATGGTTTTGTCTGCTCTATCGGTTCCTTTCACCGGCCGCGTCCGATTCGGCGCAATTCGTGAGCCTGTTTTCAACAGACTGAGCGGCTCCGGTCGTCAAGGCGATTCACTTCGCTCTATTCACCAGGGTTCAATCAAAAACCCATCCGATCTGCTGTATACATTGAATTGCCCACCAGATGCAACTTATGTAATTATAACCCCTGAGGCAAAATGTCTCGCTTTCGGAAAGAAAAAGGGCGAGTATCCAGGCTACGCTAACATGGCTTTGTTCCTCCGATTTCTTTATCCCTCCGTAGACGATTGTATGCTTCTCTTTGTCTTTCTTGTCAATTTACTTGTTCTTCTCAACTCCGCTCTGGATGCCGGCGTCATGTTATCCCACATTCGCCATCACACTGCCAGCGGTGGAAACTCCTTACCAAGTCCTCCTGTCAGTCATCGCTTGAACTTGGCTCGCGCTGTTGTCAGGCTCGCTCGCAGAGGATGGACTTCACACACTCCTTCCAGGCGTTTCGTGGATAACACTGATGATGTGCATCAAATTTCCACCGGAAGTTTACCACACACTAGCGTTTGCCGCAAGCAACTTCTCGCGTTCTGTAAACATTTTTGTCTCGACATTCTCTCCTCTAATTTTCTCATTCTGATCACCATTCTGCCGTTGATCAACATTCTTAATTTACCCCATGCATCATGTCTCGTAAACGTCTCCCTTCTACTTTTGCGTTCCTTGGCCATGTCCTCTCCGGCTGTTTCTTTGCGCCTGTCCATCATGAGCGGTCGTTTGACTTACACCCGCTTCGCGCTGTTCCTTTCGTTGCTGTGGCTCTCTTTGGTTATTGTCACATGCTGCGTTTATCCTCCAATTCAGTCCATGCGCATACGGCCAGGACGCCGCCGGAGCACGCGTCGGATATCCTGTTCCTCTCTGCAGCGTCTCTATAATCGTCCCGCCGATCAGTTAGTCAGCGAACTCACTCGGCTTCTGCTCGCCACCTCGGACACCGATGCACACCGAGATCGCACTACAAGTTCTAACACTTCGAGCACTGTTGAAGCGGAAGTGCAGCCAAACTCCCATGCATCTTCTGCGCCAAATAATGACACTGTTACAACTCGACATCCCCGCCCCGAGGCTAACCGCTTGCTGCATCGTTTGAATTCCCTTCATCGGCTACTGTTGGATGGGGAACATATTGTGAACTCATCCACTTCACTCATTCCCTCCCTCCCTCCATCCAGTTTTGATGAATCAGATCCACGGAACAGATCAGCCGTAAACGCAGCCCCTGCTCACATTTACACGTGGCAATTTGCAGTATCCAATTCCGTTAGCAACCTTTCTGAAACTCCTGCTGCTTCGAGGCCCACTTCGACCTCTGCGGCTACGCATCGTAAAGAGCCGAATCACTTGAATAGCTCTCGTAATTTGCGTTGCACCTACCCACCTGCACCTCACACCTTACTGGGTGTGTATGAAGCGGAGGACGAACAAGATGAATCGGAGGTGGAGCAAACAAATTGTCCGAATGTCCGAAGACGATTTCGACGCCATCGACCATGTTTACCGCTGCGATCGGATTCCTCTAGCAGTCGTTCCGATACTGAGGGGGAAGATCCCACCTCCTCCGGAGAATCCAATTCAACGAACAATTGGCCTCTTTGGGTTATTCACTGTGAGAGTTGTGTCGTTTGCTGGCGTACCTTTCGTCCACGTGTCAGATTGGGCGCTTTACCTTGTGGGCACGGCTTTCATGAGGCTTGCATTCGTCGATGGTTGGACACTGGCGCGCTCGATTGTCCTGTTTGTCGCTGGCCCGCGTATGCCCCACACCTTAGGCAGCAACGCCAGATGATTGGTCAACTGTTGGCTGCGGTTCGCTCTACCTTACATGCGACGCGTCAACACAGCCTGACTGACTCGGCCACATCGGAACGGATGCGCGACTCAGTGTCCTCTTGCTGAATGTTGATCTCTGTGTCTTCCACTGCATCTCCCATTGTCTCTATCTCTCTTCAGTCGAATCATCTCCTTGTGTCTTCAAGCTTGCCCCCTAGTTTGTGATTGCACACGTTTCTCTGGTGCTTTCCCTATCCGAAATGTTGTTCGCATTAAATCGTTTTTATATTTCGTTCGTTCTCCACATTTTGTACACTGTGGCTTGCCTCCATTTTTTGGTGATGCATTACTGCCGTGACTTTATCACTTATGTGACACCGATTACAGCATTGTTGATCGTATGCTTCTAGCCTCACCATTTTGTCCCAAGACTACTGTGCTAGTTGATATATGTCACCTTCATTGATGCGGTTGGCAAAGCTGCTATCCTCAGACATGACATCTCGGCATGAACGTACAGTACAGAGCAGTCTTGGTAAACGCCTTTTGTTACGTAAATAAACAATCCTTGCAACTAGCCATCTTCTCGCACGGACCTTGTATGATGGGCGTTCGGCTGGAAAATGTGAGGTATATTGTGCGTTTATAGTCTTCGCTGTGTTATTCCGACGGCAGCTATGAGTCATCGAGACAGGTTTTAATGCCGGTCTACGTTCTGTGTCTACCATCCTGCTTTTGGACTGTGCGGATCAAACAATATTTGTACATTGGCGTTTGATAGATCGAATTGCCTACATGGACTCATAAATCAGGGCGCTCTTCCTCGGCCTGGGTAACCGGGAAGATCTTTGCCCGCACAACACATCAATAATGTAAAAATTTCAAACCTTTTCACTGTTTTCCCCGTTTTCTTGTTGTTGTTGTTGTTGTTGTTGTTGTTGTTGTTGTTAACTATGTGTTGTGACACTGCCAATTATATATTGGTCAAGTGTTGAATAATAATAATAATCTGGGCGCCCCATAGTGACTTACCGGCATGTGCCCTCACACTCGTTCGTGTGGTTTATTTTATTTTCGCACTCATACGTTACGATTTTGAATTTCTCCATGTTTTATGATTCCCTGACGTCATAGGACAGATGATCATATCGTGGTGAGATGTTACGCTTCAGTTAGTAGAAGTATCCTTTCCTATAATGTTTCAGCTTGATTCTTCAACCGCACTGTCATGGATAAAGCGGCTGAGCTAGTTAAAGCTACTGACCACCAACGAGTCTCCACTGACGAGGTGTACGGCTTTTAGTGTATCATTGTCATACTTAAGCGTTCCCTGGAAGCGGACACAGGTTCTCTCGTGCCTTCGTTACTTAAAAGTTATGACAATGCGCTCTGTCAGCGGAGGATTTTCGGTGCTCCGCTCTCTCTAAACTGCACTGTATGACGGACTTTGTCCCGTTTCGGACTCATTAGGTACAGATAGCAGTGGTTGACAACCTACGCTTCGATCACGGGCCACCAAGATCTGTAATTACTTGACTACTGTTACACGCGTGATGTGAGCGGACTGTCACGATCAGTTAAGATAAATCGGTCACGGTGGCAAAAGTTGAGGACAGCAATTCCAAGCTTCGTGCCATCCACAAAAGCATCGTTCTGACGTTAGTGTTTACATAGTTGCCCACTTTATTCTTCTCCGCTGCCTTACCGCACAGCGGGAACTCTAGGTGAGTAACAAAGGGTGGGTTGGTTACCGACGAAGACTGTGTTGTGTCGATCTCATCCTCATACTGCGACCATTGCGGAAGCATCGTTACGTATGCTACAGGCCAATCGTTGCTGTGTTTCTCAATTTTAAAATTACATTCTACTCAGTCGATCGTTCTGTCCCGTTGTATGTTCTCAGCTGTTATAAATATGAACGTTATTCGTGCTCTCAACTCTTGTCAGAATTTACGGTGAGCTGTTTGCGCATTTCCGTTACTAAGTGATATGCACAAAGGTTATCTCATTTCCATTCAGTTCTGTCCTACTCTGTGTCATCATGTAGTGTTCCCTGGTGGTGACTCAATACAACTATGGAAATCATGCCCAGTGGGGAACTAGCTGATTTCGATCATGTGAATAGCACTCTCTTCTTGTTTGACCATCACTAGACGACATAGTCATTGGTAAACACACATCAATTCTGCTAATTCATCATCGCCACTCCCAATCAGCAGGTTTAGGCTAGTCTGGAAAAGCACCAGACGCCGGCGTTTCGACCTTCTGGGTCTCGTCAGTTGTGCGCCTCCCAGCGGAATCCTGCCGGATTCCGCTCCCATGACTTCAGGATACCAGCAGCTGGTGCCACTTCGCCATGGGTGACAGCCGTAGACCTGCGTGATTGACAGTTTATTATGATATTGCCCGGCTCATCTTCCACTGTCATGCCAGTTACGAACTGTGCAGAGGACAATGGCTAGCCTCACGAGCTAGGACTTTCCGCATCGCGCCAATGCACCGCAGAGGACTTAGAAGCTATACGGACAGATTTTGTAGTACTGATGAGTAGTGAGGATTTTTGGTATAATTCAGCTAATTCATCATCGTCACTCCCAATCAACAGGCTTAGGCTAGTCTGGAAAAGCACCAGACGCACCACTGACGAGACCCAGAAGGTCGAAACGCCGGCGTCTGGTGCTTTTCCAGACTAGCCTAAGCCTGCTGATTGGGAGTGGCGATGATGAATTAGCTGAATTATACCAAAATCCTCACTACTCATCAGTACACATAAATTCCGCTGCAGCATCACCCGCCATTCGCTTACTCTTTGGCTCTCGGTGACGAATATTTAGTTATAGCCAATCATTCAACCTATATTGGCAGCAAAATTAGCAGTGGCAAAAGTGAGATTATTGAAATCCGCTGTATTGTATTGTATTCTCAACACTCTATTAGCTAGACAAAGAGCCAGTCTAAAACC